TTGTTTTTTAAATCATCATGTACAGTGGTAAATGACTACTATTTCCTGTTTTCCTCTCAGCTTTCAATTTTGTGCATGTGTAAGGTGATCTTATAACTCTTCCATCACTTCTCTCAAGTATTGAGCTAGGAGCTAGGTTTTAAGCTTCTTACCTTAGAAGTCTCCTGTCATTCACTAGTGCTAGCTAATCTGCACGTGCACCTTCAAAGTCAGGAAAGCTTTAGGATGGGATTCTTGATCTGGAATTGGTTCTAATTTCAGATGATCTTGAACTTTACTTGACACTTTTATACCCTTGCAACGCTACTATACATCCATTGCTTGTGACCTTTCTGGCTGTATCTGGAAGCTAGATTAGTTATTGCTTTGATCTGGTAACATCCAAAGTTAGTTTTAAAACTGATACACACTATCTCAATTTCAGCTATTTTCAGATAGGAGTGCCTATTGTTGCAGTTATGGCAACAGGCTACTTGATTATTTGTCTGCACGTTTGCTCCCTAATACACTTTGTTTCTACCTTGCTTTTTGCTAACTGGTTTCTCTTGCTTTTGCATTCTTGTTCATCACTGATTCTGAAAACAATTAATGTATTTATTTAAAGCTATAGCTTGTTCACAATGGAAATTAACTCTGCAACACAATTGAGCCATTTATATGTGTATTTGTTACCTATGCGTTTAGCCTTATGATCAAGAACATGCTTATGGTCCCTGGTGTGCTGTTTGCCCTCATTTATATGTAGGGGTGTGTGATAGTCTTGTAATTTTTTTTTTTTTTTTTAAGCTGATCTATAATACAATGTTATAGCAAGACAGTTGAGCAGGAATTCTGTAAAGAAACTACTTTCTTGTGCATTGAGCTTATAAATATTGATCACCTGGAATTAGCTTCCAGAGAAATATTAATGGTAATACTGGTGTTGCATAAGTAATTTTTGCATTTCTTTTTCTTTTTAACTTAACCTAGAACAGGCAATACTTGCACCTCAGCAAGTTTACAGTGAATTAGGAAATGTTTTAGTTATGATTTTGATGCTAGCAGAACTTGCAAAATCAGTGTGCTGAATTTGTGTAGTTCTTATTTCATTATTTCTTTAAGAGCTTTATGGAGTCAGAGTTTAAATTGTGACCTTGGTGCGTGTGGCTTTTGCTTTGTTGGCGTCCTTTAGAACTGTGGACAAATTCTATTTGTTAAGATGAAAATGCTTTTGTCCCAACTTCCCTACCTCCACTGATCAGAGTGAAGAGATAGAAGTGTATATTGAATAGTGGTGTTATCTGTTAAGACATTCAGCTTAATAAACAGACAGCAGAATGAGAACACCATGTTTCTTAAACAGTGCTAACCTTAGGATGGCTAACTATTGGAGTTCTTGCTGACCTAGAAAAAGATAACAGTAGTTACACATCTGTCCTTCAGCTCAAGTTCATAAAGATTCTAGAACACTGTAACATTGTCTCTTAGCTATCTGTCTAGTTTTTTACAAAAATCAGCTATTCAGTTTGATTTCTCAAGAATTATTTTATTTGCAGTTGTTTACTGTACATTGTTCTGTAATCTCTTTCCAACTATAGCCCTCTCTGTGACTTCATCTTAAAGGTCTGTTAGGATATGGAAACTTGGGATTAAAATTAAAACTTTACTTAAAAATTTTGAAGGCAATTGAAATATTGCTTCGGCATCCACTTGTTTCCTTTCATTTTCTTCCTTGATTGCACTGTTTCCCTGTGACTTTACCTGTACCAAAAATACTATTTGTAAACTGATGCATACATACTGCAGATCTATAGTAGGATTTTTGTCTGTTTACCCCTGCCCCTACGTGTTTATTCTGCTGGGTTGTGATTTTCGAAGGCAGAGGACCTAGTATTTTCTAATTAAAACAAAGGTTACCAAGTTGCTACCAGTCAGTGTGCTTCAATTCCTTTGACTGAGGGAGCAATCTTAATGAACATAGTCCTTTTCACTATTTCATGCCAATGAGTTGCAGCAGTTGCCACTGAGACAGGAATTTCTTCAGAAGAAAAGGGAAAAATAATGTATTGTTATACTTCTATGTTTTGTTTGCAAGACTGTCTTCACTACTGTCTTCCTGTGTTGTTTTAATGGCTGACTTTTTGTGTTTGTATAGTAGTATACCTTCATATTAATCTTCTCCAAGTTTTATTACTTATGACTCTGTACCACTTGTTCCGTGTTGAGCACCACAAACAAAATCCATATCTAACAGAACCTCGCTCTTTAGCAAGTGTTTTCTTAAGTGCTTATTTGCCAATATGTGATTAGACCTGAATGTATTACATAATATTATTTCTGATGCTTGTTTAGAAATCAACAAAGTAAAAATGTTTCTCCATAGTTCTCAGCAATTTGTTATCATTGACTTGTAAGCCATTAATAATGGGCAGTGCTCATATGTTGGGTGACTGAGAAGAAATCTGCAGTTAGGCCGATTTTTGTTTATTAGAAATAACAAATCACATTTTATTTTTAATTGATGCATCTTGAGTCTTTTCTAATACAATGTTGAAATGCCAGAAATTATTGTTGCTATATCTGTGTTTTTCCACTCTCCTATTGCCAGTTTAAAGAAAAATAAATTGTAATAAGAAAAATCATTGTATGTCTTTGAAAGAATGACTAGGGGTGACATGAGCCATTCTATAATGGCTATGGCTTATGTGTAGAGAGTAGTTGTTCTGTTGATTTTTGTACTTAATATAGTTGCAGCTTTAGGGGTATCACTAGCCTTATGGTCAAGGAGGGCTTCCTTAGTCCAGTAAGAGGAATGAGTTCAGTTCCCTGCCATTGTCTTTTTCTATGGTGGAAAACTTTCCTGAGGAGAGATTAATTGACTTCCCCTATAGTATGCTAAGCTGGTGGGGAAAAAAATATATAATTACAGAAAATAATATCTTCAGGATTTATGTTGTGATTTTTTGTTTGTTTGTTTGTTTCTAGTTTTGGGACCATGTAGCCCTTCATCATTTATTTTAAAAAAGATTTTATTTATTACATAGTTCAAAACACAAGCTGGAAACTTTGTTTTGGTTTTATATAATTGATCCCAAGATGTAACAGGAACATGAACTATCTCAATTTAGAAATATAGATTTTAGTGATAGAATAGTCTTTTTTTAAGTAGAATTTCTGGGATGTATCCTATATTTATTGATTAACTGCTTGAATGCCATGTTTGGAGGATATCTGGTTGAACCTCCTTAAATGAAGGAAGTGCAGTTATCTCTGGTGCTGAGGCTTGCTCAGTTAACTTGCAATATCTTCACAACCTCTTTGGAAACTTACTCTACATATTTGACCATGCTCGTGTTCTCTTACCCTTTATCTTTTTCCTTTTTTTTTTTTTTTTTTTTTTTTCTTTTAAGTTATTATAGCTAGATTTTCCAATGTTTCCAGCCTGTAGCATTGCAGGGGATTATTTTACCTGAAGCACAGGACTTCTTGCATCTGCTGAACTTAAGTTCTTTTGTTTCTAAGTTTATCTGATAGTGTTGGCCCTGATGTTCGCCTGTGGGGATATCAGTAGCAATTGATGCCCACTTGGAGTTTTTCAGTCCAGCTTGGTGGGAAACCTTGCTAAAGACAAGGTGCATAATGTCCACTGATTAAACCTTGTCCACACAGGTAGTCATCTTTTCTCAGAAAGCAATTGAGTTTGTCAGATGTTGTTTCACCTTGTAAATCCATGTTACTGTTCTCAGTAATCTTTCTGCCCTTCGTGTGTTTAGAAATGGCTTTCAGAAAAACTGTTCTTACTGACTTTCTCCGGGACTAAGGCTAGATTGACAGCCAGGAGCTTCTTCTTTCTTAAAGACAGGGCTACAATGATCTTTCTGTAGTCATTGGGATCAGACACTAATCGCTAAATGCTTTAGCCTTGATGTGTGCAAGTCTGCAAACAGAATGTTGCTGTATTCTAGTACAAGATGTAATGGGAAAATACAGTGCAAATATAATACTGAGTTCAGACAATATTCTCAAGGCTTTGGATTAGTAGAATGTATTTCATGCCATTGTCAGACTGAATGAGCTTATTCAGATGGTAATCTGTGAAGATGAACTTGCATCATTTTTCTTGTAGGTAGTGTCCATTGTTTGAGAAGATTATATATTGTAGAAACATACAGTATGAAAATAGGCATTTGATATTACTTGAATTACAAGTATAGCAAGTGCTTTTTAGGGACCTTCTGAATTTCAAGAAACTGTTGTTGGCTTTGCTCGCGCATTCGAGCTTCAGATTGTTTCAATCATATTCAAGGCCTTAACATTTCTCTTGAAGTATACAGTAGTTCAAGTTTTTATCTCTTCAAATAAGATGCAGCTGAGTAATGTGGTATGAATGTGTCTGGGGTTTTTCTAATTTCTTCTGTTGGTTGTATTTAGGAGAAGCTGATTTCATTTGTACTGCTTCAGTTAAACTGAAATAGTTGATTAGATGGAAAAATAGGTGAAGCCAAATCCCTTAATGTTTGCTTTGCTTCTGCAAGTCCTATACTGTTAATACTCAGTTGTCCTTGTCCTGCTGTTAGTGGTTATTGTAGCCTAGCCCTCAACACTCTTATCACTGAAGTGGCTGATCTGCAAGTAGAATGTCTTGCATGAAAATGTGTGTGTTTTGTCTGTCCTTAGCTTCATCTGCAGCTTTGTGTGTGTGAGAAAACAGCCACCAAATGTTTTTCACTTTGCTTTTGTTATGTAATTTGGGATTTGGCATGACAAAAGAACTATATGTCCTTTTTTGAAAGCAGTTTGTGCTTGACAGTTGCTTTATTAAATGTTGTTTGGTCTAAAAGTTTTTTGTTCCAGTTATCAGAACAAGAATTGAATCATGATTGTTTTGTTGGGTTTTTTTGAGTATGTTCAAAGAGTTCTGAAGGAGCTGGTGCCTTTCCCAGTATGAACTTTTGACAATTTGAAAAACATTTTTTCATGTATTCCTTCTCTTTGTTCTTTACTTTTTTTTTCTCCTAAAGCTGTTGAGGTACACACTGGATAAGAATGGTCTGCAGCAGGTGAGGATCATAGCCAGCGATAGACTGTGGGAGCCCATTTCCTTTGTCTTGCTGATTGACTCTGAGCTCCATGAAGTGGTCGATGTCATTGGGTAGGGGGTTCTCCTTTTATCTTTCTTGCTGGTTTATTCACAACTTGTCTTTATTTTGCTTGTTTATAAATAGCACAGCCAAAGCTGTACCTCTGTACTGTTGTGGGTTTGATGCTGTAGTCTTTCTCACTAACCTTCGTCAAGTGGTTTAGTAAGAGCCAGTCTGTTCGAGAGCTCAAATGCTAGCCTGATTGCAGCTTAAGACTTTTAACTGAATAATGAGTTTCCTATAGTGTGCAAGACTCTTATTTGCTGTGGCTGCACTTTTGTTGATTTGAATGGGTTTTAGTAAAATCTTTTTACCCTGAAGCTTGCTTCAGTTCCTATATTTACATATAAAAAGTGCTTTAAATTTACAGCTTTATGTGCAGCCTTATATTTACTGACTTCCAACACTCTGCTGTTAGAGAAATTAATGTGATCCAGAAACTAAATGAAGCTTTTATTTTTTTGTTACAATAATGTCTTGATTCTCAGATCCCATTTTGTTATGATTGAAGTTGTATGCTTCCCAAGCATTAAACTGACTGACTTGTTTTTCCAGTTCTTGTTTTCATCACTTGGTGGTCATGTTTTGCAAAGGTAGACTAAATTTGATTACTGACTTCTGCATAAAAACACATAAGATCTGGTCATTAACTTTTATTGTAGCTCTAGATTTTAATTATGATGTTATGTAGACTTGTCTGACCCAATCACATTTCTCAGACATGGCTGTTCCTGCTTCAACTTGAGTCTTTTTTGTTCAACCCATGGGACGTGTAGAAATGAAGTCTTTCCTTCCAAACATAGATAGGAGTCAGTGCCCTGGAAAAATCAACCCCTCCTCTCATTCTGAAAAAGAAGTATCCTAATAATTTCTTGCAGGTCCACAAGAGGGTCGATAAGTGAAAGCAATAACCAACTCTCTCTGACAGGTACAAATCTGTAGCTGTCATGATGCCAGCATTTTGATACGGATTCCTTTCTTGGCAACAGCAAACATGCACTCAGTGTCAGTTCCTGAAGCTTAACTGTTTTCATGCCAGTAAACCATAGTTGCTTTAGCCTTTGTGAGAGATCTAAGTTTTATAGTCCCTACTCTGATTCAGTCTTAGTAGGAAGCTGAAATAGACTTATGTAATAGATAATCAGCTGGCTTATGGGCTGATGGGAAACATGCTTCAGTGGTTCATGTTTCATCACAGAAATATTGTTAAGATTCTTTCTAACTTGAAACTACACAAAAAAAAAAAAAAAAAAAATCAGCCACTGCAATTTTTGTGCTGGGGAAGGGAGGATATTTTTTAAAGATGGACTTACAAATTCTGCACTAATTCTTAGTACTTCAGATGTAGTACTTGTTTATAACATGTTTTATATAAAGTTAGAGACCAAGTTATTCAGATTCTCCATGTTGAAAAGTTTTCCCTCTCTTCCTGCAGTTTGTTGAGAGAAAACAAAATTGTTATAGATCATCAGTAAGTATAATAGAAAATTTCATTTTTCACTTGAGTTCAGAACACCATCAGATGACAACTCTTGTCACTTTGGTTAAAAGTATCAGTGTTCTTAAGCAGACCTGATTTAAATATGGATTTAGTTTAACATAGGTGTCACAGAAGCCAAGGCTTTTGTAGAATTTTTTCAAAACCTTATTATGCACAAATTAATAATCTAGGAGTAACATGGCAACATTGTGTTTTTCCATGGTGTGATACTTGTAATAGCAGGAATTGGAACTGTCCGAAGTACTTTCAGGCCAGAGTTAGCATGAAAAGTAGGAAAATAAGTGTTGCTAGCTGGCAAATTTTCTAGAGATGTTGGGTACTTGATTTTCAGGTTTTTGCAGGTACTGCTTTTCTGCAAAGCTTTATAGCAGTGAGAGTGTTATATAGTCGTGGGTTTTTTGTTTTTTGGTTTTTTTTTCCATTTTAGTCTAATTTCTTGGTTCTTATACTGGTGCATAAGAGAAAAACAGTGGAACAATCTACTATTTCTCTAATGATCTTTTTTCTTCCCTTCTCTTCTTCAACACACTGCTGTATGCAAAATAAAAGATACTGCAAAGGCTTTTATTTTCTTAAGAAAAAAAATCACTGTAGGCAGTTATGTGATGCAGTCACATAAGCCTTTAAGTAAATAAGTTTTTCATAATGTTACTTATACACCAATTTAATGCAGCTGCTCTTCACAGGACATGTGAGTTTTTCCACATGAGGTATATTGCTTCATCATCTGCTATATAAAACACGTCTAATCTGATAAGACTTTTAAAAATTGTTACCACTTGTTATTGAACAATTAGAGGCCCTGGTAATAAGCCACTGTTAAGATATGAAAGTTGAAAACAAAAAATAGCCATTATGTGCATTTATTTAAAATAAAAATAAAATGAAGCATCTGTTTTCTCTTTTCTCTGGCTCCAGGAAACTGAAAGGAGAATCAAATGATGAAAATATATTATTAAACTACTTTAAGTAAATAGCAGTGGTTTGAAAAATGTGAGCACTGATAGTAAAACTTAGTAAATTTTTTTGTGCTGGTAGGAAGCTTAAGCCTATGGCTTCATTGTAATTCTGTTCCTACTATTCCACTCATTATCTCCATTAAGATTCATTGTTTTTCATCCTTTTTATGGTATGCATTACTTTTTTTGCTCCCTCTATGAAACAGTCTTCTGTTATAGTATGCATAGTTTCCTGCCCTTTTGGGCAACGAATCCAAAATCCCACTACTTCTATTGACGCATCATATCTATAAGGATGAAGCGTAAGTGCCCTGTTACAGTTCATCCTCTTGGACAGTGGTAAGAGTAGGTGTTTAGGAGTCTTGTTTTCCTGAAGATGCTAGTGGTCCTTAAATTGATCAATTACTTTATGTATCCATTATTCTGGTGCCATAAAAAGGTTGTTTTCACTGTCAAAGGAGTAAGACCTATTGTTCTGGTTACAGCTTTTCTCCTTTATTTTGCTAGTTGTTAATTGCTGAGGCTGTGGAGTGGCACCAGATATCCAAAATAATGTTTTAGCCTAGTCTTGTTTGTTGTTTTTTGTTGGTTTTTTTTTTTTTTTTTTTTAATTTACAATGAATTCAACAAATCAACATTTACCCTTGTGAAAGTTTGCACTGTAAATGGATAGCAAATGTTGACTCTGTTCATTTGGGTGGGTCTTGAAGTAGATATGCTACAGTGCTTTTAAGTCTTTTAAAAATAATTTATTTACTTTTTAAAAACGAATGTAGTTTTTTGTATGGATTGAAAATAACTTACTAATTAATTACATCCTACTTCATTAGAACTAGTTTAGGCATTAAGGTAAAAATCATCTTGTTTAACAGCTGTGTCTGAGTAAAATGCAAGTACAGTGTAAATCATGTTCATTAATAGTAATTGGAAGTGTGTCTAAGAGCAGAGAAAAAGGATAAATTTCATAACTGATGGTGACACTGTTTTACCTGCTTGCAGATGGGACAAAAAATGAATGTTATTAACAAGTGGGTTTTGAATGAAGCAAAGATACTGCTTATAGTTTTTATTTGGCAGAGATATTGACAATATTTAAGAAAAAGATTTGCAGGACATAAAGTGTAGAAATGCAGATCTATTCCTTCTTTGCATTGTCTTTGCTAGCTTCATGCCATTACAAAAACCTTCGCTCAGTACTAAGGTATTACTTGTGCTTCCAAGCCAAAGGGAAAATGTATGCCATCCTGCACAGCAGAGACAAGGATATAGCTGAAGTCTCTACTGTATGTTATGTTACCTCTAGTGAAGCTAAGTACAAATGACTACAACTCTGGGAAATTGCCTGTTTTTGAATAGAGGGGAAAATAATTGAAACCAGCCATCAACCATAGAAATACCTCTATTATCTTTTATTATTTATTCCTGACTCATGAATTAATTAAATTTGTCAAGTTTTAGCCCATTAGTAAAAACAAAACAAACAAACAAACAACAACAAAAAAAAAACCCCCAAAACTTAGCTTGTATTTAAAGTTTTAGCATGTGTTTAGTGTGTTCAGTGGGCCCAAACCGAGAGGAATGACGGATTTCTGCAAGTGTTTTAAGAGATTTTATTTCAGCCAGAATAATTTGCCCCATTGAATCAGTGTTGTGATTGAATATGACCAGTAGTCTTTATGTGGGAGAAGGTATCTGTGCTCATACTAAGGAAGGTCTTGTGCAGATAACTAGCTTTCATTATGTTTCAGTTGTTTTCAGTTTACACCTCTTAGCTCTTACGGTCCACTCAGCATGCGTTCTTGAAACCTGAGCATATTAGAAATGTGTGCAAGAAGAGCCAAGTTCACGTTTTGCTGCTAAGATTTAAATGCAGCAGTGTTTGTAATCTCCTGTGCTGTATCTTACTGTTAATTTATAATTATTTAAAAGTTTGGCTAAGACACTGTCGGATAACTTGTAAAAGTAACTGTAATATGCTACCAAGGTCACAAGGTCAATTTCAAGATAAAGCTTTACTTCAGCAAGCTGCAGCTACTGAATGATGTATTTAAGCCTAGGTTTACTTAGGCTGATATGTTTTAAAAGAAGTAATCTTGAACTGATGGGAATGCAGCAAGCTGTGGTATATTACAGATTTCTCTGTAGTACAAGTTTTCTATTCTATTAGAATTATTCTAAAGCAAGTTTGTTTTTAACTTTCACTTTGGAGGAGAGCAATTAAGCCTGGAAATACAAACAGCAGCAATGAATTTTCTTTTTGTGATAAGTGCTCTTTCTTTTTAAAATATTGTGTAGGGCTCACTATCCTGGGACAAAAACAGTGCCAAATGCCTTACTGACTCAGAAGAAACTGTGGGCTTCGGAAGATTATAGTACTTTCAACGATGATGTAGGTGCAGGCTGTTGGGCTCGGATCCTAAACCAAAACTACGTGAATGGAAACATGACCTCGTAAGTATTGTGCATTGCTGATAGCTTTTAGGACTTCATTTGTAAGGATTATCTAAAGTACCACGTAACACATCCATCTGCTATGTTAAGACTGTAGATAAACTCTTTTCTCCGTCAGTCTGAATTCAGATAGTCTGAGATGTGAAGACTACTGTACTTAACCACTTGGAGAAAAAAATTTGTGGCAGCTGTAAGGCATTTCTGAGTTACAGTTTCATGTGGGCCTATACAACTGAGTTCAGATCTTTTAGTTTCTGATGATACTTTTCAAAGTAATTCTTCTTAAGAAGAACTAACATGAAAACCCAGGAGGAAAATAACAATGAAGTTAACCTAGCTGAATATTTCTCAGGGTCTCTATCAGTTATTTGTCTTTAGTTAAAGGTAATAGGTGTAAGGATTTTATTATCTGTTGTTTTCTGTACAACATCTTTCTGAGGATCCATTCTAAAATTTGCTGTAATCTTTTGATATCTTTATTATCTTCTGTATGTTTTCTTGCCAAATTGAAATATGGAAGAAAGTTATTGGGAAATTAGGTAAATCAGTTTTAAAACAGAATAGGACACATACTTTGTTTTCAGTGAAAAGCTAATAATGAAAGCATCAATATTTAGGCAAAATTACTTTCAAGGCTTTTAGCTTTTATGTAACTTCATTTTGGGTTAATAAAGATAAATGTTTTTACCTGAAATACTTGAAACAAAGCACAGCAGCAAGCACCTGCATGCTCATAAGGGGAAATTCAAGTTGACTATCTTCTGTGAATCTTTTTTTGAGCAAATTTAAAATTTTAACATATTGGCTATGTGAATTCCTGTCACTCATGTCCTTTAGTATATATGGGGTTATTTCTGCCTTATTCCTGTTCTCTTCTTTTTACGAGCCCTTTGCCAATTATATAAGCCCCATTTGATTAGCAATGTGGTAACCAAATCATATATTCAGAAATTATTATCAAAAAGATCAAAGTCTGTAAATTCAATACTGCTTTCATTTCAGCTTTTATACTGAAAATCAGTTCTTCCTAATGAAATGAATTTATTTATTAGCAAAAATATAAACCTCCTCTCCTTGAAGTTTGAGTTCCTTTCCATTATGGTTGTTTTATATTGAATTTTTGCAGAACTTTATCTTGAGGAAGCTGCTGAGTTGAAAATCTTGTTGAGGGCTTTTTTCTGAGCACATTTTTAGAGGAATTTATAATCTTTCCTGAAATGCATATATCCTGTGATAGATAAGTCTTAGGTAATAACTTCAGAACATGAGCCTTTTGTGCTCATCTATGTACAAATGCGTTATTTCATGCCAGCTTTTGTTTCCTATAGAACTCCTTTCATAAACTGTATTTGCATACCTATGGCTGCACAGACTTTAAGGTCCTAGCATGAGATTGCTTTGAAGAACAAATCAGAAGACCTAAAAAGAATTGACCGTGTCGCTGTCCCAATAAATTCTCAAAATAAATCCTGGAAGATGGCTGGTTAGGGTTATATTACATTCTTTATTTATGTGTGCAGAAAAGACTGTTAATATTTCTCACTGGTGCTTAAAAAGCAAATAAATGCAAGCCCATCAAAAGATCACCACCAATCACAAAGCTAATAAAAAAAAAATTGTGAAGCATCAGAACTTTTACTTTTTTTCTCCCTACTGATTTGGTTAGGAAGTATGGATGGAGTCTTTAATCCTCAGGTGCACATTTCCTTTAATGTGCAGCTTTTAATGGTGATACAGCCAGAGGATGTATTGTTTTTTGTTGTTGTTGTTGTTGTTTTTTTAATGAAGTTCTCAACTCTGGAAACTGATTCTTTTTGTCTCTGCTGTGGATTTACCATCATTTTGCTTTTTTTGGAGGGGGCTCTGGAAGGGCTTGTTTGTATTCTCTCTCCTTTTAGCTGGGAAAATTCTTTTTGTGTTGAAATACTTCTTTATTTTATTTTTTACTGTGAGCTAGGAAGCTGTTTTTTCGCTGTGTGTTGGAGGGAAAAAAACAGTAAATTCTTGTTTTAACTTTATCTAATGCTATCCATATTAATAATAAGCAAAACCTTTTTTTTTTTTTTTCCAGAACTATTGCATGGAACTTAGTGGCAAGTTATTATGAAGAATTGCCCTTTGGTCGATGTGGTTTGATGACAGCACAAGAACCATGGAGTGGCCACTATAAAGTAGAAGCACCTATTTGGATTACAGGTTAAAAAAAAAAAAGTTTCCATAACAGTATTGTGAGAGTCTTTTTTCTGTGTGTGTTATTTTTTATACCACATTGAAGTGGTACAAAAACACATTGAAGCTTCATGGAATGTCTTATAAACTCTTTAAAGAATTTAATTGCTTATTTCAATAGGAAGCAGAAAGATCTAAAAGGAGGCAAATTTGACCATTAGGTTATATGCAGAAATAAACTGCTGCTTTTTACAGCTATCACTATTAAACTATTTTGTTCTGAAGTGCCTGTAGAGGTTAGTGTACTTTCCTAGTTCTTTTTGCTTCACTTTTTTATTTTATCCTAAATTAGATATCTGATACCTTTCAATTTGAGAAAATAGAATGAAGAACATATATAGTCTTGTACTACTTGAGGTTCTTGGCCTCTGTAATTCATTTCTTTGCACATAAGAAAATGGAAATACTTTTATTCTGTGTTGTCTGAAAACAGGGTGGCTACTCCGTAGTTCTTCTGTAGTCTTTACTGTCTTTGCCACAGAGCAGATGGCATATACTATGCCATTAAGGAAGATGGAGGCAAATGTCTAAATATTTATACTTCTGCTAGTTGCCCAGCATTAGGAAAAAAAAATGGCTATAATGTCATCTGAAAAGTTTGGAATACCTGAGCTGGTTTTCTTTTTTCCATGTTGCTTAGTCATACGCTTATTATAATGTCATACGCTTGGCAGTTACTTATGCTGAAAAAACCCCTACCTCATGTAGTTGATTATTCCTGGAGGAAAAGCTCTTCTGTACTTTTTCTGACTTGATTGTTTTCTCTGCCACAGAACAGATGTTTTAAAATGTGTTTTGGTTTAATTCTGTAAGCTTTCGTATGGGTAGAATTTGCTTTGAAATTCCGTTACTTCATTTTGGGAATTTTCATATATTAAATTATAGTTATCTTTATTAAGATTTAATTACTTTCTTATGATTTTCTGTTCCATCTCAGCGCACACAACACAATTTACACAGCCAGGATGGTCCTACTTGCAGGTGGATGGACACTTAGAAGGAGGTGGAAGCTTTGTAGCTCTGACAGACGGCCTAGGAAACCTTACAATAATAATTGAAACTATGGTAATGTACATCAACAGAAGTAGAATAAATAAAGGAAATATTTTGTTACAAAGTGCCTGCTTCAATTTATGCCTTGTCTGTAAATATCCTCTATAATGCTTCTGTAGCTTCATTACTGAGACCACCAGAAGTACTTTTTTTTTCTATCTAAACATTGTATAATCATTATATCACAAACTTATTTGATGACACTCTGTGAGAAATTGAAACTGTGTTTTTTTAAAGCTGAGTTAAAAATATTATAGTTTGTGCAATAGTAATCATCATTAAGATAGTGAAATAAATATTTACAAATTAATCCTGTGTTGCTTTTTATAGTTAGTACTATGTTTTTCTTGAACACTGTCATCTGATAGATTCCAGTAATGTATATTCCTTTCGTTCTTTCCTTTCTTCAGACACACAATCACTCTAAATGTATCAGACCTCCACTGCCTCACTTCCGAGTTTCACCTCAGCGAGCAACTTTCTACCTCAGAGGGTCTTTTGTAAGTAGGCATTAAATACATTTGGTCACTTTTGTAATGTGAATTGCACTGCATCTTGTGTGTACACACAAACTATGACAAGATGTCAAGAGATCAGAATTGTTCATCTCCTGTGCTAGAGGTTATATGCCTGCTGAACTTTTAAATGTTCTTCTTTGCTTTTTACCATAAGACACAATGTCAAAACTGAATTTGTATTATTACTACCTTCCAATATATTTGTGTATATTGAAGAAAAAAATTGCTGGAACAGAGATACAATTTGGTTTGTCATTAGGATTTATTCTGCAGCTACTGCTCTGAAGTGCTGATACAGTTTGGCTGGCATGGTCGTGACCTTTCTAGCTGTCATCAGTTGCTTTCCAGGGAAAGCAACTAGGTGATGCAGCTGACTATATGACACAGGTTTTGTTGTTCTGTCCCAGCAAAAGATATTCTGAGAATCTCCATGTTTTGTATTAGAATATTCTGTTCATATTAGTAATATTACTATGCTATTAGGATAATAGCTTACTGATATATGTAGATTGCTCTGAAAGTAAAGTCTCCTATTTATTTCCATGGAAACCACAACATATAAAACAAAGAGCACGACAACAGAACACAACTCAATAGAGCAAATTCTCAGCTTCAGAACACTATTTTTCAATGTAGTCATCACCATTAGCTATACATTTCTATCAGCTGTGATCAATAGATTTCATGCTGTGCTTGTAATAATCTGCATGGTTCTCTGGGTGACTTGTCTTTCATGTTGCTGCTGCTGAAATGTACCATCCACCACCTCACTGTGCTCACATCAACTGTTTGGTGTACCCATAAGCATTCAGCAAGCATCAGTGGGCCAATGTAATATAGTAGGAAGCATTACTTTTGAATCGGCCCTTGCATAGTTAAGAAAAGGTAAGGTTTGTAATGGCTATCTGAGTTAATTGGTGGCTGCTGATGAGATCAGCAATTCTAAAATAACAAAAGTTAGACACTGATAGTTTTCAAAGCCAAAGTAAAATTGTTGTTGTGTTGGTTTCTTTTTTAATTTAATGCTATGTTTCATTGTAGTATTTCCTGAAAACTCTTCAGGTGTGGCACTCTAGGCTTGGATTTGAATCTGCAAACTCTAGTCTTTTTGAGCAACTTCATCCTGTAAAGGTAAGTTGATTAGTTTTAATACTCTACTGTAACTTCTTGGAATTGGTATTGCAAAAAATAAATAAAATTACTTCAATTTACAAAATATTTGCAAAGTAAGAAATAAAATCCCACACATCAAAATAATCTAAGGTAACTTTTCAGAGAAGCTTTATGGTCTTTCGTGTGAATTCATGAAGATAAGCGTTCATTAGGCTGGTAGTACAAATTGTTTTGTAGGTCTGAAACATTGCAGCATTTCAATAGGTATGTGCTTTGAGAGTAATGATTTAATTGGTTCTAGTGTGATAATGAAGACTGTGGATGTCCTTTTTTCAGTTTTTGGACCCACTTTACTACATTTTCAACCTATACATTTGAATTACAGTGAAATGTTTGCAATAGTGTACCTCAGCGTTGTTTGTTGTGCTTATGCTACCTTATACTCTGCTGAGTGTTAAAAGTAGTCAGGTTTAGCAATTTTGTTCCTACTACAGAAGGATTTGCAGGATGATATCTATAGTATTTATGTGGCCTAAAGGTTATAACCTTCCAACTTTCTGGCCTCTCTACCTGTATTCTTTTCCAAGACTTTGGGAATTATGTGCTCACTGGGTGCGTTTATAATAAATATTTTTTAGAAGAGAACCTTTGAGATTTTTTTTTTTTTGTACTACCCTAAATATGAGAATGTGAGAATGCAGGATATTCAACACAAACTGATTTCTGTTAAAGCAGCATTTCTCAAAAACAGAGCATTGTATGTACTGTGACTTAAATCTTGCCCGCGAAGGAGTATTCTAGTATACTCTCTGTAGTTTCAGGTGTGTGTTTTCCCCCATTCCTGAACTGCTGCACCTCTATGCTTTAACTGTATACTTCAGGCATGCTTTATTAGCTCTCTTTGACTAAAGTTTTACTAGCTGTATACAAACTTACCTGGAAGCAATAAAAACTTGAGGGTATTAAAATGTTGAGGCAATTTTTGCCTTAAATCGAACTTTAGAGGATATCCTTGAACTCAGAAGCTTGGATTTTTTTTTTATGTTGCAATTTGATTTTTGCGACTTGAACTTTCTTTTAATTCCAGATCTGGAGGGGAAGTTTTTCTTTAGACCTAGATGTGGATGAAGTCTATACTTTAACTACACTTAAGACAGGACGGAAGTGTAGCTGCCCAGAGCCTCCACCACCTCAACCCTTTCCTTCAAATTACAAAGATGACTTTAATATTCGTAAGTCAGAAATCTCTTATCAAAAGCTTAATTCTCATACAGATATAGTCTCACTGTAGGAAGGCCATAACAGTTGTGGTATTTGAGTCATCTGATGTAGAAGACATGAAGTAATTTGAATGTTTCATTATTTTTCTCTGATAATTTGTGTATGTATACCTTAGTTCCAAGACAGCTAATTTTATTCTAGCTCTTAACTAAGTGACTGCTACAGTTTTAAAATTCTTGATGCGAAATTATATCTCGAATGTAGTGAACTACTTTTTTAAGGGAATGTAAAAAGAATTGAACACCTCCCCTCTGAGGATAGCCTGAGAGAGCTGGGGCTCTTCAGCCTTGATGAGAGATTGTCTCTGGAGACCTGATAGCAGCCTTTCAGTATTTAAAGGATGTCTATTACAAGGAAAGAGACAGACTCTTTATCATGATCTGTGGTGACAGGATTTGGAGAAATGGTTTTAAACTAAGAGAGGGAAGATTTAGACTGGATACCAAGAAACCTGGAGATCCTCAAAGTCAGGTTGGACAAGGTCTGAGCAACCTGTTCTAGCTGCAAGTGTCCTTGTTTTTTTTGCAGGGCAGCTTGACTAGATGACCTTTAAAAGGTCACTTCCAGCTCAAACTCCAGCCCAAACAATTCCACGATTACATTAAAAGGGAGAGAAAAAAAAAAAAAAAAAAGAAACTTTGTATATTTACAAAAATGGTCCTGTTTCCAACTTCTAAAACTTGATTTTGCATCTTTTTCTAGTGTAAAAGACTACTTTGATACAATAAATCAGAAGCCTGGAGGGTAGCTTCAGAGGAAATCTCTGACATCAAGGTCCACAAAAGAAAAATAAATGTTTTGGTGCTGACATCTTATTCTCTGAACAGGTAATCCACCTTTCAGCGAAGCTCCAAATTTTGCAGATCAGACGGGTGTGTTTGAGTACTTCGTAAATGGCTCTGACCCAGGAGATCATGTTTTCACACTCCGACAGGTGGTGATTCAGCGACCCATCACTTGGGTTTCTGATGCAGACCAGACAATCAGCATCATAGGAAACTTTCAGTGGTATGTAAATACTACTTTTTGTTGACAGCTGAGGAAATGGTGTCCTTAATAGTTTGAATTATTATTTGTTGGTCTTTTTCATTTCTCTTATTTCTCTATATTTCTCCTGCACTGAATGTTTTTTACCTTCAAACAGTCTGTAGTCATGTAGAAATGATGATTAAAGGGACTTAAGTTCTTGAGCCCTGCATGGTGCTATTACCATCACTATTAAAAGGTCAGATCAACAAGACCTTATTTAAACAAGTCTTCAAAACATCCAAAGATGAAGATTTCGTTTCATCTCCTAGTGGTCCACTGCCTTGGGAAAAGATTTCTTAGACTCCTATGGGGCACATTTGTTCAAGCTACTTTTGGGAATAATTATGTGAGATGGCTCACTAGGGAGACTAAGTTAAAATAGCACTAACAAAAAAGCAGGATCTGAATTTTGAAGTTTGCACAGATATTTTTTTTCCCCACTGTTTTTAAAAAAGACAAAAAGTTGATTCAATTTATTTTACTTGATTTTGAATTGTTGCTTGATCATTACTAATTTGATCTATCTCATGTTGTGATAGTTTGGGAGTTAATTCTGTTATATTTGTTGCAGACTGCCATCTTCTGAGCAGTTCCTAGAATTGTGTATATTTAATTTACCTACTGCTTAGAACAGTTGTATTCTTGGGTAGATGTAGCAAAGATTTACTAGAGTACAGTTATCATTCATTCTAGGAGGTATAGTGGTGATAATTTTGAATGAAGCAGTATGTCTTTCAAGCTATGGCAGGGGAGATTCAGGCTGGACATTAGGAAGTATTACTTTTCAGAAAGGATGGTCAGGCACTGGAATGGACTGCCCAGGGAGGTGGTGAAGTCACCGAGCCTGGGGGTGTTCAAGGAAAGGCTGGATGTTGTGTTGAGGGACATGGTTTAGTGGGAGGAGCTACTGGGAATAGGTGAACGGTTGGACTGGATGATCTTTTAGGTCTTTTCCAACCTTGGTGATTCTATGATCTTGGCATAATATTTAAATTTAAAAAGTATTTGGATAAGAACCTGTTGAATAATTGGCTTAGTAACAGTAATTAATAAACTTAAGCATTAAGTTTGATTTATTATTTTTACGATTTGGAAGAGACTTTAATTCTTTTTAGAGAACGTATCAAATAACTGTTTTGTCTGTTTTTTTCACTGTTATCAGATCAGTGATGCTTTTTTAGAACATGTATTATGATTCTTATTTCTGGCCTTGACAAGTTATTGAATCATTTTGCTTTGAAGCCCATAAGCACACCGCTGTCTTGTAGCTGAAGGTTGTTTTTGAGTTTCTAGATGTGTACTTTTGCAGTCCTGTATTGAAGCTTCGTGTTTTCCCCTATAACCAGCTTCCCCTCATTGAGCCAGTCATATCTCATGATCTGTGTAACAGATAGTACACTTAAATTACTGCACTGAAATCTCTAGAAACTTCCCACTTCATTTTGGTTCTATTTTTTTTCTGGATTAGTGTCTTTTCAAAATAAAGCTTGTTTCTTGAATATTCAACTGATTATTGAAGCTTTACTCACCTCTTAACTTTTATAAGGAAAGTTTTCAAGTTCAGGTCCAGTTTGCCTGATCTTTTCTTGGGTACATGTTTTCTACTACTAATGCACAATATAAAAATATTAAATTAAATTTGCTCTGAATTTCTGAGATGTTTTCATTTCAGTTATCAATAGCAATTCTTTGATTTCACTCAAGAGTTTAGTTGGTTTTAATTCGGATTTTAATTTTGTGAAAGTTTATGTAGCTACTCTTGAAATTTTTTGTTTTGCTCTGATGAAGCATGAAGCTAGGTTCAAACCTAGCTGCATGCTGTAATTATTGATATTTAATACACTTTGCTCCCAGTGTCATTATAATATTGTGAAAAATGTGGGAGTCTTGTGTTTAATACAAAGGAAGATAAGAAAGGTCTTAAATGACTTGTCTAATGAAAATGTATCCAATAAACTGATGCTTAAGCAGTAAGAAAAAATCTTATTCAATTCTGACGCAAGAGATGGAGGAGAAGACTACCATAAATACATATTATTGATTTATCTGTAAGCTGAGTTTATACAGGAGTTTTTCACACATTTAAAAAAACAAAACCTATGTATAGTTGGAAACTTTCTTTATGTATGACCTTTTGACTGTATCCATACTAGCAACAGTTCATCACAAGTAACTTAAGATAAGGAATGTAGGTACTGAATTTCTTGAGCAAGCATTAATAGGGTTGGTTAATTTTTACTTGTGAGAGGCTTGTACTGCAGTCTGAGGAGTGGAGGGTTATTAAGTAAATTTTCTAAGTGCTATCAAATTATTCTGGTATTTCTTTGCCTGATGGTAGGTTATTTTCCTTAACAGTTGTAATTAAATGTATAATGTGGTACTTTACAGTTGAGATGAAGTATTACCTCAGGAAAAAATCAAATAATTTCAGCCTGTTAAAACACACTGTTTCTCTTACAGGGTAAATCTGACAGTCACTTGTGACATCTACATAGAAAAACCACTTGATGGGGGTGTGTTCATTGCTGGAAGAGTAGACAATGGTGGGATATATGTTCGTCGTACCAAAGGAGTTTTCTTCTGGGTTTATGCAGATGGCACCTACAGAGTCACTGGTGACCTAGGTAAGAAGCCCTTTCCTAAACTGGATGCTGATAGATGGACGTATTGCACTGATAGCCTTGATAGAAATGATGAACATTCTGGTTTTGTTACTCAGCTGCAATCACTATGAATTTGATTCATTGTGCTGTAACAGTGGTTGCATTTTGTATATGGCTAGATCATCTGAAGGTTACTGGCTGCTCTACTTCTCATTCTCAGCTTTCTGGATATCCTTTCAAATATTTCCAGAATCACAGAGCTGTAGGGGTTAGAAGGGACCTCAGGAGATCATTTAGTCCAACTCTCCTGCTAAGAGGCTCCCTAGAGCAGGTTGCACAGGAAAATGTCCAGGAGGGTTTTGAATATCTTAAGAGGAGACTCTACAACTGCTCTGAGCAGCCTGTCCCAGTGCTCTGTAACCCTTGAAGTAAAGTTTTTCCTCGTTTGTGTGAAACTTTCTACATTCTGGTTTGTGCCAATTTCTCCCTTGTTCTGTCCCTGGGCACCACGAAAAAACAACATGGCCCCAGCCTCTTAATGCTCTCTTTAGATATGTATAAGTCTTGGTAAGACCCCTGCTCATTTTCTACTTCTTCTCTATGGGTAGGCAGAGTACGTGTAGCTTGGGAATTCTATTACCTTCTCTTAACACACTGATTCCAGGGGAACCTCATGTTTAAATCCACAACAACTTAAGTTTCACCTGGGTGTAATAGATATATATATTTATTGTATATACATGCATACACTTGGGTTTAGAATGAACTGCACTGTTTATTTCTTGAGACATGTCAGCATTGCCTAGTAGAAAATAACTTTTTTCCATGCTGAAATGAGGGGAATGTGATTAATGACTTCATTATTTCAGATGGGCATGCTTGTTAGGCCATAAGGTATTTTTTTCCTCCATAGCTATTTTTCATCATCTTTATATTTTTCTAAGAAGGTGTCTGTGTGGTAAATTACCTCGCAGCTGAAACTGCCAACTGAATAATTGAAGATTCTTCTTCTAGTGCTTAGTTGTTTTGTGTTTTTTTCCCCTAGTCTCTCTCCTGATTTTAGCTTTGATTAAATTTTGACTAGAACTAAACAATGTTACATTGTGGCATCTCAAAACCTCTGAATTTAAAATCTTCTAATACATAAAAAAAGTTTAGTAGAGTAAGTGGTGTGCTAGCTACTGTCACACTTGGTTAACCTGTACTCCCAAAAGATGAAATCTTCAGTGGGAAAAAAGCTCCTAACAGAACAGTAAACTACACCTCTGTAGTAAGATGGTGGTCCTGAACATGTCTGAAAATGAAATGCTTTCCTTTTGCTAGCTTGATGCTATCTGGCAGTCTAAGCAAAAGTTAAATGACACTTTGCTAACCTAGAGCATGTTTTGCAGCTGGAGAAGAAATATTAATGAAAGGGCTTTCTGGTGTCCGACATAATGCTTGGCACACACTTACTCTCAACATCCAGGTAAGAGCATGGTCAAGAAGCTGGAAAATCTGCTATGAAAATTCCATTCCTAAATGGTTTAGACAAAAGCATGCTATTTTACTGTTTGCATGAGGTGATCCTGCATAAAACATTGATATATATTTTAATATAAACAAAGACTAAAATACCACTCATTCTATTTCCTGTATTTTTGAAGAGATCTTGAGAAAATGGAGAGGGTATAGAAAGTAACTGGAAAAGAATGATTATGACCTGGCTACCTGTTCTGAAGATTCTTGGTGAACTACTTAACTGTTTTATAAGTCTGACTCCAATTATCTTTGCATGTTAAGGCCCTGTGTATGATGCCTCTTAAGGACTTGGATCTAGGGAACTTGAATGAACTGCCATTTTTCTTTCCTGTGCTGAGAAAGCGTGGGCATTGTTTTGATGTGAAAAATGGCCTATTGTTGATTAGAAGCCTACTCAAAGTGTGGGATCTTCGTGTGGTGTTTCTGCATTTTTTTATCATAGTGAGAAGAGTGATACCAAACTTTAAATATACCTGTGCAATTTATCTGGACATGACACTGTTGCAACTAAAGGGCTTTAAATTCCTCAGCTGGGTGCCTAACCCCCTTGGCTAATACAACCTTTGCAACTGCAAGAGATCTAAAATAATTGGGAAGCTTAAATCCCCTCTGAAGATATCTTGTACTGTAACGAACTCTGTGAAATTCTGTGCTAAGTCTCTAACAGATAAACAGTCTATGAACATTAGAAGCTGTTTGGCTTGGTGTTTATTTGCTTTTTCTGCTTTTGTGTTGATAGACAAAGGAATGCTTTTATCTGAGGCATTCACAAATGTTTGTATAGCCACACTTATGACAGTAATTGCTATCTGTAAAATGAAGTTTGAGACTTGCTAGCCTGAACAGAGTACTAAAAATGAGTAAATTATCTAAAACAGAAAACAATGATGTTGGTCTTCAAATCATGATGCTGTAGAGTTGCATGTACCAAAAATGCCTTTGAGGTAATAAAAGAATTGTAGAGGATGCTTTTTGAAAAACAGTCTGTTTTTACATATATTTGTAATTTTTATAGATTCAGTACAGGTAAACTAGAATGTTCCCCCCCTTCAATTTAATATTGGCAAGATAAATTTTAACTGTTCTGAACATTAATGGTAACATTCTACTTAAAAGTTCCTAAATTCCTTTCTCTCCTTGGTTTGATGACTAAAATACATAACTCTTTTATTTTGACCTATGTCTAATTCTGCAGAATTAATGCCAGGTGTGTCATGTAATAGAACTGTTTGTAGTTCCAGGTAGTTCTAGTTTTGTTAAACACCTCAAAACAGGTGAGCATTTGAAGGAATATGATACAGATGCAAGAGGAAAAACAGTTTACCTTTGAGATTCTGCACTGAGTTTGCAAGCTGAGAGTTTGGGAAAGATAAATCTTTTATATACACTATATAAAAGCCTGTTAGATCTGTTTCACAGAGCTGATAGGCACTGGATGAGCAATATTTTGAAGCGCCTCTGCATGGAAAGCATGTGAAGTGTAGTTGAAAATTCACTGGACATCTTTTTGACTTGCCTCGTCTGCCATACAGATTGTCTTGGTGTGAATACACTTGATCACTGGATTTCACAAAACAAACTCTTTCCCTTTTTTCTGCCAGGGCACTTCTGCCTCAGGACTGTTAAATGGTTATCCGCTCTGGGAGAACGTCACCATTTCTCAACCAAGTAATGGCTGGGCTGCTATTGGAACTCGCTCGTTTGAGTTTGCGCAGTTTGACAACTTCCATGTTGAAGCTAGATGAGGTAGCTTTTGCATTTGGAGAATGTCATCATCATACTTTGAAGAAGAGTCAGCTCAAACTTTGGGGACAGCTTAACACTGACACTGATCTGTTGGCAAAGAATCTGAATTCTCACCCTGTTATTTTATAAAGCTTTACATTACTAGTTACCAGTGTAAGTTTCATCCCCTGGTTGCTATGGAATTTTTACTCTTAGAATTCTGGGGGTAAATTTTAGTTCAAGGTAACGATGAAAACAAAATCATAGATCCTTTTATTCAAGAATGATCAGATCTTAACTTCCTATCTCATTTTCAAGCCAAATTTGAAAGTTAACAGAAGATAAGGGCCTCTCAAGCTGCATTTTTTTTTTTTTTACACTAACGTGACTGTGTCCATTCCTTTCACTGTAAGAATTAAATACCAATAAGCCTAATGATCTAGTGGCCCCATGCAGCTGTACTATAATTACTTTCAGATTTCATTTGGATGAAGAACCTATTTTTTCCTGTATTAAGAAAAACAATGTTTTGTCTATTTATGCTACAGTCTGAGTCTCAACATTACAATGCTAAAGGTGTGTTTGATTACAACTTCCAACTTTTATCTCTAGCCTTATAAATATTTCTTTTGAGCAGAAGGGAAATCTCTTATGGGTGATTAGGCAATGCAGGATGTGCCTTAAGTTTCAACTACCTCCTTTTTTTTTTTTTTTTTTTTTAAAAAAAAAAAGGATTGAAATAGATTAAAAGATCAATAATCAATTAATTATTGATAGCCTTTATGGAATGATGTTTTTTGTTGTTGTTTGTTTTGTTTGTTTGTTTTGGTGGTTTATTTTTGTTTTGCATTGTACAAGAATAAAAAATGGGTCCTGGGTACTTAATTTATGCCAGGCTAAATGTGGAAAAACTGTCTTTTAGAAGCTTGAGCATCCATCTCTCATTTGTGATGGATCTAAAACTTTGAGCAGAAATTGAAGTATATAAAAATGTTACTTGGTTGTTTTGGTAGCACAGAGAAGGTATGGGTACTATCATGTCCTTGCATAAAAGGAAATGAAAAATATACATATCTTAAGGCCTTGAAGTCTAATCATAAGGTGACAGCAGATGGATACAGATGGAATGGCTTGGTGTATCAGGCTGCACTACTGTCCAACAGTATCCCTACTCCTAGGCTGCATGGAGTAAAGTTCAGATTGAATTCTGGATCCTTCAGAAAAGAGGGATTCTCTTTTGTTGCTACTTCACTGTTTTTTGAAGTTACTGTGCTATCAAAAAAAAACCATCCAGATTGTAGTGAGATAGCAAATGCTGTCTTCATGAGTTGGCTTCTGAATTTTTCTGTTGGTCATTTTTGAATGAAAATGATGTCTATTCCATAACAAAAAAGTATCCCATGTCTGCATCCTTTTTCTAACTGGCGAACAAGAAGTTCTGGAGGTGTGATGGGGCACTAATATTTGTGTGAGGCTCTCTGTAGCATGCAGTATCTCATCTTTGAGAAACAGATTTGCAATATACTTCAACTTATACTAAATATTACTCTGATCCATTTTATTTTGAAAGCTAATTTCAGTGAGCATTGACTTTGCTTTTTGATATTTTCAGCTAAGGTAGAGTTAATGCAACACAAATTATTACTAGACTTTTTTTAAGAAGGTTATCTTCCAAGTCAAGTTTTGGAGAGATCTCAATTTCCTTAGTAGAGATGAGTGTTTTATTTCTTTCAACAATTACCACTGATACCACTATTAATTGGTTATGAATCATTCATAAGTGCAGATTTCACACAAGCAGTAACCTTGAAGAATGATCTAAATGACTGAACTTTAAAACTCTTGTAGAGGACTTTCAAATATTAACTGTTTATTTAACTGGGTAAAAAATGAAAGCCAGCTTTCCAGTTGAGTTGCATTTTGATAGTCACAGTGTGGGTGCAAATCTGTTCATTATTTGCTTGATTTCAGAAGGGATGTCACTGGGATCCAGATGTGAAGGAATTTAACTTAAGGTCCTTATATTCAAGTAATATGAATACAGAAGAATAAGTTCTCAGAATAAACTTGTTTCAGCTGTGATAATTTTTCCTAGTAGCACGTTTCTTAAAGAGTTCATGTTAGCTTGTGTGGGCTGCAAGCAGTGTCGTATAAGAGAGATTAGCAAAGATGCAGTTTATCCAAAGGAGTTGTCCAGTTGGTCTTTTTTACTACCCTTTAATGCACTAATGTAATAAACTACTGTCATATTGTGTACTAAGCACAATGTATTTTGTCACTGAAAATATTGATTATTTTTTCTAATCTTAACTTATTAATGTTAAAGGATTAAACTGTTTTATGAAGAGAACAAGGGATCTAATAGTGATATAATGTTGTTCACTCTTGTGTGTAATTCTTCACCCTTCAGCAGGCTGTAATATCCTTGCCAGTAACAAGCTGTCAGGTCTTTCACTGAGGGGTAGATTTATGTTGTTGATTATAAATACTAATCATTTCAAATGGACAAATAAAGCATTTAAAACCCCTTTATTTGTGGTGACTGCTTTTGTTAATGGATCATGATGTCCTCCAGCAAGAAAGCTGCCAGTTTTTATCATTGTGATTCCTAGTAAAGATGATTGCCCCTATGTTAACTGGATTGGAACAATTTTTCAAATGCCAAACAATCCTTGTTAACAAATATCATAAAATCAGGACTTTTGCTGTTGATATGAACATTATTTATAGTGCTCAGTATACATTCTGCTTCTCTTTATTATGATGGTTTTTGTGTATGTTTTTTTTCCTCTTTTTTTTTTCCCTTTGCATTTATTTAAAGGGATTAAACTGTACTTAAGGGTCATTTGTACAAAACTGCTGAGTACTGAAGTCTTGTGAGCTTAAGCTGACAGTCTTTTTACAAGTGTGGAAGCAGGTAGTGCAATTCAGGTATATACTAAAGTTTACATGAGAATTTTTTTTTTTTTTTTTACCTTGAGTAACCTTTTGGGTCTAGCTTCAGTTTTTTGAATTATTTTTTACTCCCCTCTCCAGACCTCAAACTTCTGGATTCAACTTTAAAAGGGGAGGAGAAATTCCATGATGCTAGACACGTTTTCCTGGCTATCATGCCAATGGACATGAATTGCTCTGGAAATGCTGTTTTCTGCTTCTGTTGGTAAAAGATGTCTCTCCAGTAAGAAAGTATTACTGGAGTTACCACTTTGATTACATAGCACTGCATTAAAATTGATTCTGTCCTTTATTCTCTGCCATGTGACTTTTAGGTTAGTTCCTACAAACAAAATTCTTGGGGTTTTTAAATTTCTGCAAAACAGCACTGTTTTTCTTTAGGCTACTCACGAGCATTCATTTTGCAGCCTCATCTTGTTCTCACTGCATCAAAAGTAAATTTCTAGTTCTGAATTTGGAATGGTGAGTTGAAAACAACCGAACTTATTATGTGAGTCTTATCTGATATTTAATTTAAGTCCCTTGGGTGTCTTTTCTGTGCCCTTTAGGCTTCTTCTTACCATTCAACACCACTATTTGGTAATCACAAACCACTATGATCACAGTCCTTCAGAATCTCATCTCCTGGAGGACAAAAGTAACTTTGTAATTATTGCATTAAACCTCTTCTTTACTTCTGTTGCATGCCCTAGGTTAAGATGAGGCATATCTCTGGAAACTGGAGATCAAATTAGTCTAGAAGTGTTAGAGTGGTAATTTTTTTTTTTGTTTTTAAAATGTCTTTTCTGTTCGTGTTCAGTGTTTGAGTGTAAGCACTTAGATCAGGAAAACAGTCATTTTGATTTTTAGCTGTTTATGAACGCATCTCAAAATGCTCAACTATAAGAGAGGATGGCTCAGTGCAATACAGTTGTCAACAGAAAATAGAGCCCAGTACCCCTGGTTAATGTGGTGCAGCCCAGGTCTGGGAACCTTTGGTCTAAGATGAAGTAATTACCGCCATAAGGATTATCTAAAAAAACCACAACTCTTCACATTTCCAAGTAATTGAAGGAAATGTCCTCATTTAGTTTGAATTTCTTTGTTCATTTTTTGGTGAGAAGTACAGGTAGCTTCCTTATTGTTTCTCATTAAAAAAAAAAAAAGTGCCTATGGAAAATCAAATACTTTGTTTCTAGGAAAGCAAATATTTACTAATTATACACGCTGATACCATTTTCAAGAAACACTGGGATCTTGCAACTTAAATCCTCATACCTGCTTTGCATTAAGAGCAAGAAGGTAAATTATAGAATCAGAATTGCTTAAATTGGAAGGGACTGTTAAAACTCATCTAGTCCAACTCCTCTGCAACAACCAGGGATACCTACTGCTCAGGGTTCTCAGAACCCCATTCAGTCTGACTTCTAATGTCTCCAGGAATGAAGCATTCAGGTCCGTGTCTCTCAATGTACTCCACATCTGGATGTAGTACTCCAGGTGATGTCTCACCAGCACAGAGCAGAGGGGCAGGATCTTCTCCTTTGCCATGTTGGCCACGGTTCCTTGGAAGCCCAGGGTATGGTGGGTTTCCTGGGCTGCAAGGGCACGTTGCTGTCTGATGTCTGGTTTGTCCTCTGAGGGTACTCTCCTGCTGCCATGTACCATCAGTAGTACATGGGTGTCTAGCACTTCCTCTGTCCAACAGTCTCACAGTATAGAAAAACAGAAGTGATGCATAAGGGAGCTGAAACCTGGGTACAGCATCAAAAACTGCCACTGCCTACAAGAAAATCTTTCGGAGAAAGTAAGACCAGTAGAATGGAGATGAATAGGGTAGGTTGGAAAAAACTGTGTGAATGCAGTGGGAGTGATGTAGAGCTTCCACAGTTTCTGTATATATCATGACATGAGATGAGAGTTGTTTTAATGCATCTATAAAATACTGGAGTACCTAATATGCTCATGGAAATGCAAACCTCTAGGCACTCTCTTTTCATGGAGGAAGCTGATGTAATTCTTACTTTAAAAAAAAAAAAAAAAAAAAAAAAAAGTAAAATGACATGAAAGGAAAACTAAAGGCCTAGTCTACTTGCTGAATCTGTGGTCATCTTTTTTCAAACACTGCATTCTTGAAGCTAATGAACACTGTTCACATTGCTCCTTAACGGTAGCTGCTCCTTTTCCTCCTGAGACCTAATTCCCTGTGAAGTCTCTTAATCCTAACCCAAACCAGATAAACAGCAACGCTATTTCAGTTCCTTGAGTGTGACTGACATGAGATTTGAAAGCATCCTGCGGCCAAGGCAGTCAGGATGGTGAGCTCATACTTCAGGCTACAAAAATACCTCATTACAGCAAGTCGGATCTATGCTGTGAAAAATCTATAGCAGTATCACAAAGATAGATTTTCAAATGAAAAATTGATATTTGACATGAGCCTTAGAACTTTTTAATCTTTTTGTACAAGTTCGCGAAGAGAGGAGTTGCATTTTGTGCCAGAAGCACTAGATGGCAGTGTAATTACAAGGAAAAAAAAGTAGCTGTCTGGATGAGTTCAGGGCAGCTACATTGAGCCGGGAAAATAAGGATGGAGGTGGCTTTGTTTGAGAAGAAAAACAACGTTAAGACTATGGACAGCCTCCTGTGCACAGAGCTCTACAGCATTCCTTACAAGGAATAGTAATTCATCTTTTAACATAATTTTGCATCTGCTCTAAGCACATTAACATATATAAAACAAATGCTTTCTAAGGCATCTAT